GGGGTTGGTTTTCATTTGGACTGGAGATGAATTAGCCACTTCCTTCCAATTTCTAATCAATACATCTGTAGATATATCTTTAAATAGCTCTAATGATTTTACCCACTGCACTCTGATAGTTACACCTTCAATTATTGCATCTTTACTTCTTTCCTTTTCAGTAAAAGTCTGTGAGTTCCTTACTTCCCAGATCATCTAGCAAATAGCAGCTCATACACATCTCCACATTATTCTACTCTTCTTTGACCACCTAACAGAGGAAGAAGCAAACAAACCTTGTATACTTGGAAGGGGAGTTCACCTGCAACCAAACAAAGAAAACAACCAATCCCAAATAGCAGAATGTGTTTCATCAATCTCAACCACTTCGCCTTTGTCTTCCAGAGGCCCAGTTCTGTATTTTCATCTCCTCTGATAGACCTGCTCTCTTCCTGTTTCCTTTGCCTTAGCACTTCCCCTTCTTACTCCTCCTCCCTCCCGTCCTTTTCATTCTCCACCCCCACTTCTTCCTGTACCCCAGAATCCCTGATGCAATGCTTTCTTCCTTACTCCCTTCTCCCTTATTCCTTTCTAAACCTCCCCCGGCTATCTCTCCTCCTGCTGAATTCCCTTCGCTCTCTCTTCAACCTTCCCTGCTCCTTTCCCACCCTTGACCCAATTATTCACAGAACCCTCAGATCCCTACCCTGTAGCCCTTCGGCCCCTGCCTCCACATCCCCAAATCCTCTCAATTCCATTTTTTCCCAAACCTTAAGAACCATTTAGGTTCATTTTCACTCAGTTCCAAATCTGGTTTGCTTTTGTAGTGATTATTCAATCACTTTAGGTGGTGCCGGTTCAGTCTTCAGTGATCGATGGAAAATGAAACCAAATGGATTTGAATTTTTACGCAGATGGCGTTTGGTTGCCACAGTGTAAAAGTGAAGCTTCCCACTCTGTTTCTGTTTTGAAACTCTTTCTTCCGTCAAACCTAGTTTTTGCTCTCTGGAACTCTCCCTGCTCTGAAATTCTCCTGGGTTACTTCTGTTTCTGCTCTGAAACGTCCTCTTCCTCCGGCCTCTGGCAGAGATCCAAAGAGGACTACAGTTGCTGCATCCAAACGTCCTCTTCACCCACACCACGACTACAGTTGCTGTCTCTGTAATGAAGATGCAACGAAACTCCTGGACTCGAGTTCCAACACCAGAGAGGTCAAGAAAACTTGAATGGGAACCCAGTTGCCCTGCGCCATGGACAAGAACATATCTTCTGCGCTCTGAGATGGTGGGAACGCCGGTCGAACCCAGTTGACCATTGCAGCGCTAAGAAGAGGTGCGAGCTCCGGTTCATTGTCGTTTGGTACCAACCTAGGGGAAGGAACAGATGGAAACTTCTTACGCTGGTGAAGAAGCTTGTGGTGCGGAGGCTGAGCAGAGAAGGTAATGTTTTGTTCAAATATGATTGAGATGCGCTGCTCGTCTTGCAAATCTCGTGATTTAATACAGTCCACAGATCTGCAACGCCGATGTGAAGTCTTCATCGTTGGAAACTTAGATTCTCTGCTCTACAGTGGAATGCCGACGCAAGTGAGATATCCAAAAGAAATAGTAACTGATTGGAGAAGGGGGAGAACCACTACTTCTGGAAGTTGCAGTGGCAAGTAGGAACAGATGAGGGCGAAACCAGGGAGGAAGAAGAATAAGAAGGAGAGAGAGAGAGAGAGAGAGAGAGAGTCCGTCGAGATTTGAGAAGATGGAGTTTTACATTGATTTTATTGGTGGTAACTTTCCACCGATTTTCAATGTAAAACTTGCCTAAAGTGGAGTTTGCACTCATCTACGATGTAAAATAACATCTCATCCAAATGTTAGCAAAACTGAACCAGAGTGTAAAGCTTACCCCGGTTCACATTTACACCTCAAACAAACGCGGCCTTAGGTTCTTTCTGACCTGCTTTGCATAGAAAGTAAAGACTGAGGGCTTTCTGGGCCTGTTTCCATAAATTACAGCATACAAAGAGAACAGTGCTTAGCCATTCAATTCTAATAAACAACAAACAAAATGACATTTTTTGTTCATGAACAATATGGGACAACATTCTTGTGCATAAAATTCCACCAATAAGGCCATAACCCAATGATGGTCCTGACTATCCGAGGTCTCAGGAGGAGCAGACTGGAGATGGACCTAACCTTTGGAATTTTTGTGCATAAAATGGCCACTCTCAGGCTTGAACCTGCATTCTCATACTTACCAGCCCAAGATTTTACCATTGCACCTAGAGTCGCCCCTGCATAAACTTCCACTAATGAACTATCAAAAAAAAAAGAATTTTATATCATGTTTCTCCCTACATTTTGTTCTAGAAAGACCTTCAAATGGTCTAAATCTTAAGAGGAAGAAATTTAGGTATGGAATCCATGGTTTTGTAAATCCAAATGGGCAATTAGGAGATATGGTAGGGAAGGAAGAGCAAAGTAAGCCTCCTCAATTAGAATTTTGTCATGGAACACCTGTCATTAAAAAAACCCTCTCTTCAGATAGGTTCAAAATATAGAAAGGGGTAATAAATTTGATATTATCTTAAAAGGAGTCCAAATTGCAATCAGTGGGCATTAACCTATGTATGAGATTTGGGGATTGAATACTGGGGAATGGTTGGCCTTATCAGCAGAAGGATTGGTTGGAGATTGTCTAACAACTTACAAACCGAGAATCGTTACTAAGGTGGGGGAAATGATTGGTGATTTGCCGTCTCAATACGATTCAAGAATGTTAATGAGGGAGGTGAATTGGTTCTTTCTAATGTTGATCATCCAAACAAGGATTAAGAGAGGCTGCTTGCAGTAGGAGATAAAAGGGGCTTACAGAAATTGGGGTTTGCCACAGTTACAGAGAAGAGTTAAAGTGATGAGGCATAGGAATCATATGGAAGGGGTCATAACAATGGAATATCAGCAGCAATAAGAAGTTTTGGAAATTTTATTATTAGAAATGCCCTCATTGATTCACCATTATGTGGCATTTGATCTAGTTGGTCGAATGGGCACACACTTATCCAGAGAAAGATGGAGTCTGGACAGTTCCTACTCACAACTCACAAGAGAGTGGGAGGAGAATCTGTTGGAATTGATTCAAGAGACTCTGATTAGTCCACAATCCAACCAGAATCCTACTTCTACTGGGGATTTCATACAGAATTGACATCAAGACCTTTTCGGTTCGAGAAACACCATGGTTACTCAAATTTTGCAGCCATGATGGATTAGTGGTGGAGGAACACCATGGTACCCTGAATTCATTCTTTTTCAGAAAATTGCAACTTTTAAGTTTTAACAAGTTAGGAGTTAGAAATTTATAAAATGAAGGTTTTCATGAACATTGAAGATATAAGAAAGTAAGAGGAAGAAATGCATTGCTAGATGGATTAGAGGAATCCAGGTCACCTAGGGAGGAGGGGTTGGTTATCTTTGTATTTTTATGATAAAGTAAAAGAAATTTTATTAAAATTGTTGATAGTTCAGATAGTGCGCCAATAGCTTTATGGGCTCAATTCTCTTTTATGTTTTTATTTCTTTTTATGTTCTTTTAGTTGTTGGGCCTAAGCCCACTTGTTCTTTTTTTTCATTAGCTTGTGGTCCCTTTGGTCCAGCCACCCTGTTAAGGGATGTTTAGTCTTTTTATTTAAAAAATTAAGTATGGATACAATTGAAGGAGGCAGCTAAAGAACTTTTTGGCATCTCCCATTATTGTTATCTTCTTTCATCTTCTTCACAAAGCCCTTGTTCTCTTAATTTTCTAGCAATCTTTCTTTGATTTTTCAGTTTCTACTAAAATAAAAAGATTAAGAAAGTCTAAAAGAGATTACATCAAACACAAAAACATGACAATTGTTCTCCAAAACAAGACAACCAACAACAACATTCACCTACTTCCCAGAGCATTCCCTAAACAATCCCAAAGATTTGCTTAGATGCTCTTTGGTATCTTTGAATTTAAGATGATACAGCACCTGGCATTGACTTGTTTGGGCTTGCCTCAAGCGGCTTGGTCAGGGATCTAGGGGCCGACCAGCAAATCCCTAGGCCCATCCACTTAACTTGACAAGGCACACGCCTGAGCTGAGGCACAAAGCTCACCAGGCATGCGCCTTTTCAAAAGGGTTGCACCTGGGCCTAGGCAAATACACCTTGCAATGTGTCTCACCTATGCGCCTAGGCACGTCTAAGGTGCACCTTTTTAATCACTATAATTCTTTCTTCCTTTCTTTAAAAACTCCTTAGCACAAAGCAAAAGTGATTAAATTCCATAAAACCTTCATTCTTTTACCACCTCTAACATTAGGCCAAACAGAGAAGGTCCCATTCAACTGAGATGCCTCTACCATTGGAATCTTGAAAGTCAGAGAAAAGAACACCTAGATGAAACCTACCGTGCTGCACTTACTAAACCTCATCACCCTGCTATAAATTGTATTCTCTTTTTCTTTTAATAATATTTTCTTTGGTCTTCATAAAAATCTTAATCTCTTATTTTCAAACAATTGCTAATCTTATGGTCCTTCCTTTTTTTCTTCTTTTCTTTTTCTTTTTTTTTTTTGAGAGCATTGCAATCATTGTGTACAGTTGTTTGTAGCACGAGATCTAACTTGTATACATTTACACTCTTGTAATATAATTTACAGTATTCAAAGAGTTAATATAAGAAAGGATTCAAGGAATTAATATAAAATTCTATGATGTTAAATGAAATTGAGAATTAATACGGTAACTAACAGATAGAGGAATGAAGTAAATAGGAAGAACAAGGGAAATAAAAAAGTGATAAGATTAAATAGTTTTTTATCATAGGTGTTTAGTTTCCCTTGAAGTTTTGAACAATCACAAAATTCCACTGAAATATCAGTAAAAATTTTCATTTCAGACCAGGTCTAAACATGGTTCAAAATCAATTAAATCCTTGGAAGCACTTTAACATAATGACTTCAGCAGAAGTTATTTCCAATAATAGATAATACGCACCATGTTCATTTTTCCACTTCAGCAATAAAATTGAGAGTTTGAGCACAGCAAGTTGCTCATGTTCAAATTCTGCCCAAGTGATGATCACAAATAAGGACAATATAACTGATGAGAATTCGGGTAAATATCGCAGACCAAGCTCTTTCTGAACAATAAATAAGCAATTTGACAGTTCCATAATGGGTTCAATCCCACCAAAGCAGTTGCAGTAATCTGAACAAAGTTGTAAAAGAGTTTCCAACATTTCCAAGGCACATAACTGTGCTTCATTGACCTTCTGCAAACATTGATTTGAGATTTCTTAATATAGAAGAGAACTTGCAATTAAAATAGTCATTCAAGTATGTGTAAAGCTAGAAAACATAAAATCTGCTAATATTTCAATACATTTCAGCAGAGTAAAAGGAGTATCAAAGAAAGGCTTCAGAAACATACCAAATTAATTTCAACCAACTGGATCAAGACCACAGTAAATGAATCCACCAGATATTTAGCAACATAAAGGATGGTTTTTAAATCCTGTGAAAATTTTTCAGAGTAAGAGCAGCAAAAGTTGCAATTGTATATAAGGTTTTGATTTGGGGGCATGGGAAATCACATGAGGGACACTTTTCTTCTGTCAGATCGGAATATACTTAACCCCCATCACCACCTTGTATTGGCATAGGACCTATCTGACACGAATTCATTGGTCCCCCTTGTTGGATTCCTCTCTTAGCATAAATTTCGTAGCAGAAATCTAAAAAATGACATCAAAACAGATTAAGTCAAGACTTCACTAAAACTTAGAACAAAAGAACCACTTACTTCTGCATTATTGCGAGGAAAAAATTTCAGGCAGCCCGTTAACAGCTTGACAACAGGCACTGCTTCAGAGGGAAACGAGCAAGATAATGACGCTACCGACAGGATTAATTGTCTGGTGAACAAGGATGATGAATCCGAAAAGGGTATTCTTAACACCGAAAAGTTCAAAAAGGGCCCTAAAAATTTACAGACTTCCGCGACTCCCAAGCGCTTATTCTGCACAATAAATAAAAGCACCTGTTGTACAAGTTCAGTATGGACTTCGGTTCGACAAGAAAGGACCTGCAATGCAAATTCCCAAATTATGTCAATCTTCTTCATATATTGAATAACTAACCACAGATAAAAAGACTCAGTTTCAGACCTTAACGAACGGGTGAGTCTCTGGAGAATCAGACCGCCAAGATAACTCGCTCTTTTCGAATGAGAATCGAACAAGAAAACCGATCCCTTTAACAAAAATATCAACGAAACGCGAGTTGCAACCCTCGAGCGCTGATTGAAGCTCTAATAATCCACGAGAAACCTCAATTTTGCCATCTCTTACTAGACGACATAGCTCTCTAATTGATTGATCGACAACAGAAGTTGAATTGGAATGCAGGCACTGAGAAATGGCGTCTCTTCCGGAATCGGAGTTAACGTCCAGGTGAGAAGGAGCTGAACGAAGCTTTTCGAATATGGAAATCACTGCAAATTTCTGCAATGAGGGTTGAGGAACTCGGATTTTCTCCAGCAGGAGAGTATACGAATTCATTTTTCGGTTTGAGAGGGAACTTGGAGTTGGACTGTTGGACTAGGAGGAGAAACAGAAACAACATAATAAAAGCGGAAAAAGGGTGGGAAAAGAGAAAAAGGACAAGTTTGTGGCGGGCTGGGCTGGGCTGGCCTCGTTGGTGTCTCGTGGGCTGGGGTAGGCTCATAGGCCTAGGGCTCTCTTTTATACAAAACTCGGCCACTATTTGGGCTTTTCTTTTCTCTTTTTCCATTTTTTTCCTCTTGCACAGCACTCCCGATCACCTGCCAACAAAACACATTCCAACTTTTTATCAGCATGATCTCGTACGCACATCTCATATATGGCGAGTCCCACTTTTATGGTGGGTTCCGGTCTTATGATGAGACGTGCCCTGTTAGATCAAGTTAGTAGATGGTTGGAACGTGTTTTATTGGCAAAAGATCTCAATTCCTCACTCAGGCCTCTCCAATCTCAATCCAACTGGCAGCAGCAGCATCAGACATAAGTCATGCCCTTCTGCCAGGGACCAAGGTCAAGGTGTTGTTTGTCAGATTTTTGCTTTTAGTTTCGAGCAGCCTCAACAACCTTGCATTGAGAATATCTCCCTGCTTATGTGCTTTATTTCATGGGGACATATTCCCCCAAGGCAAGACTGTAAAAGGTGGTTGGAACAATGTGGGCACGGAATTGCCTTGAGGGAAGCCGATCTCCTATCTGAGTAAGGTTTAGCAGGCTGTGGAACCAAATGATGAGACTCCATATTGATAATAAATTACACAAGGCCTGCACCTTTTACAATGGAGCCATGAATTTATTATTAGAATGCAACCCCCTCATTGGTTCCGCTTCTACAGCTCGCTGAACAGCCAAAGTGTCGAGAGTTCAGCTAATCCGAATTCAAGACATCCAACATCTGTCGAAGAGAACTCGAATCTGCTGCACTTGTATGCGCTGCACTATCCATGCACTTTTAATTCAAGCTGTGACAAATGTCCTTCAACAAACTCAGTTGGAGCCTTTGAAGAAAATTCGGATCTGCTGCGCTTGCATACTCTCCACTAGTCATGCACTTGCAATTCAATCTCCCACGAACCCTAGTGGTGTCAAACTTTAGCATGTCTTGGTTTGGCTCGATTAAAATACTATCAAGCTTGAATTCAAGCTCGGATTTGACTTAATTATATTTTATTGATTTGAACTCGATTCAATTAAATATTCGATGAATTTGAATTTAGCTTGAAAGTTCAAAATTAATATATTTTTATATTATGATATATTTTAGATTTTATAATACATTCATACCTATATTTTTATAAGTTTAAAGATAAATTTATTTTCAGGTTTCAAGATTCAAACCAAATGTAGCATAGGAAGTACTAATGGCTGACATCGGGATCTTCTTCTATCTCTATCTCTTATTTTTTGGTGTATTGGCAGGTTAAAAACCAAATCCAATTGGAATAAAACTCTAATTATTTAAATAATTTTTTGATCGGGGCATAAGAATAAAACTCTAATTGTTCAATTCGTTTGCAGACCTACTAAATCCAATTGAAAAACCCTTTTTCAATATTGAGAAGGTGAACCTTTAAAAAATACACCAAAAAAAAGAGGTAAATCTTTAACTTGTAGACTGTTGTAGTTACAAATTTTACTTCATAAACTCATTGAAAATATTGAATCTATCATCCGACAATAAAACTCTACAAATATGAAATATATGCAAATCGAATTACTCTTCTGCAATATTGTCAAATACCAAGTACTTGCACGTTTTATCTTTACTTCGTATGGTTTCAAAATAAACATGCCAGCTAGAGATTGCTGGTAAAGTCTCCTGCTAGTCGTTGGCAACCAGGAACTAAGCTTCAAAGCTGTAGAGGTGGACGGAGGTCTGATACAGGTCCAAAATTGGAGTCCCATCTGTAATGAAGTTGCAGTACAAGATGGTTGTGTTCGGCTAAAGTTTGTAGGTCTCCCCTTCCACCTTTGGCACGAATCTGTTCTTGAACATATAGTACAGAGTTTAGGAGGAGTCTTGGTGGAAGCTAATAAACATAGCTTAGTCGTCGTCAAGGTAAATGTGGCTGGGATTAAGCACGAAGATATGTTCGGATGAAGTTTGGTATGAGGTGTGGGTAGCTACATAAGTGGAACAGGCGTGGTGGGGAAGAGGGCCCAAGGTTGAAGACGATGAGCTGGAAGGGTGGTTGACACATGGAGGGAAGAGAGTGAGCGGTCAAAAAGGGGTGTAGGTGGAATTTAAGGAAATAATTCAAATGTTTTTGAAAGGATTAAAGCTAAGGTGGGCTCCTTATCTTTCGCTGACGTGGCGAAAAAGTGGAGTGGCCCAGGGTGCAGTTTGGTTCGATCTGAGCCAGTCGAGTTGATAGGAGGGTCGAGCGGGCCAAAGGATAAATCGGGGATGATTTTAAGTGACTCATGTGACAACTTAAAGGGTCACGTCGGTCGGGATAAGGGAAGGAGTTTTGGACGGATGGTAGACAAAAACTTGGGTCTATCATCGTCCCAAATAGCGAGGGGCGCTGAGAAAGGCTCACATCAACAGTAAGCGACCAAACAAGGGAACCTCCAGTGGGTCCTGCGTCATAACAGTGAGGAGCTGAGACTAGGGCAACGCTTCTCAGAGAAGCCAAACCCAAGGTACACAAGGGAGAGAGCTGAAGAGAAGGAGGAGGAGGATGAAGGATGGGTACTGTGTAGTGTAGATGAAGAAGATTCAGAAGACGGTACAGATGATGGTACCAGTATTGGCAGCATGGACAATGAAGGCGGCTACGGTGTAGGTGACATGGAAGAGTGGAACATTGCAAGGCTGTTTCAGGGGGACTTAGAGAAGAAAAGGAGGCATGAATTAGGCGGCCAGGAAGGTCAGTTAAAGGAAGAAGGAAGCTCAGGATTCCATAAAATAGGTGAGATTGAAGACAGTGAACAGAATAACCTATTCTTAAGACTCCAGATTGGGCAAGCAACAAAAGAAAGGGAAAATCAAGAAAACCTAAAGCAGAGCAATAACACACTAATCATGAGTGAATTAGGGGTACAGAGGAACGATCACCATGTTAACCAAGGGACAGATGGACTTCCCAACCAACTCAGGGAGACAGATCTTTACCAACCTCTAGAACTAGAAAGGGAGGCCGGGACCAATCCTATCCCAACCTCTCTATCAAACCCAGGTAACCGAGTGAATTTAGTTTATGCTACTAACGAGTCTTCTGTGTCCTTTGTTCCAGATTTTGTTCTCGTTTCATGTCTTACAGCCCATGTATGTGCAGTCAGTCAAGGTGATGAGACCTCTAAGACTTTGGGAAGGGGATTGGAAGTTAGTGGAGAGGTGTGGGAAGGAAAGTATAGAAAGAATATTTAATGAAGTTGAAGGACATATAAATTGGAGAGAGGGTGGAGAGGAGAGAAGAGGGGAGGGAAGGAAAGGAGAGCGGGGTGGAAAAGATAATATGGAGTGCACAAAGGAGGTGGGGATAATTATCATAAGGAGGAAGGATGGAGAGGAGAGAAGAGGGGAGGGAAGGAGAGAAGGATAGGGTTGAAGGGGAGTGTATAGGAAGGGTAATGGGGGGGAATCTAAGCAAGAGGATTTGATAGCGGATTTTGTAGGGAAGTTGGGATGCAGATTATAAGATTTGAATGCACTAAAAGATGGTCTAAGAAGAGGAAGAAGGAGGTTAGAACAAAGAAGAGAAAATTGAGTGAAGTTGAGAGATTGAAAAGAGATGTGGAAGGTGACAAGAAGTTCGAAGCAAAAGGAGAGAGAAGGAAAGGGGGAAAGTAGTGGTCAGGGGTATAAAGGAAATAGGAATGAAGTGAGAATGAAGATACTAAGTTGGAATGTGAGGGGGATAGGAAGTGCAAGGAAAAGATAAACAATAAAAGAGGTTTGACCCAGACATTGTTCTATTGCAGGAGTCCAAGAGAATGGAGTTTAATAACAGGTGGGCAAGAAGTGTATGGAATGCCGAGGAAATTAGTTGGGTGGCTGCTCCCTCTTGGGGTGCTTCAAGGGGGATAATGACAATGTGGAAGAGGGAAGTGGTTGAAGGCTTGGAGGAACTGATTGGAAGATACACAATTTTCATGAATTTCAAACAGAAGGAAGATGGATATGTGGGTGCTTACAAATGTCTATGGACCAAATGACTACAGAAAGATAAAGGAATTGTGGGAGGAATTGGCTAATGTAAGAGGACTGCGGGAGGGGCCTTGGTGTGTGGGTGGTGACTTCAGTGTGATTAGATATCCAAAGGAAACTAATAAGACCAATCAGAGGGTGACAACAAGCATGAGGAAGTTTAATAGGTTTGTGGATGCCTTTGAGCTTAAGGAGATACCATTGGCCCATAAGACATTTACTTGGTCAAATCTCCAAGCTAGTCCCATATGCTCTAAGTTGGATAGGTTCCTTTTTTCTGTAGAATGGGAAGAACACTGGGGGAACTTGACATCTAGAGCTCTACTTAGGGTGACCTCGGATCATTGGCCTACAGTGTTATGCAAGGAAGAGAGAAGGAGTGGAAGACTTGCCCCATTTAGATTTGAAAATATGTGGTTACTCCATCCCGGGTTTACCAATAGAGTAAGGGAGTGGTGGAATAAATATAACCGGTGGAATGAGAGGGGATGAGATTTCATAAGAAACTACAATTTTTGAAAATAAAGATCAATGAGTGGAATATCTTGGATTTGGGGAGGTTAGAAGAAAAAAAGAGAGATTTGATGGACCAGCTTTAAAGCCTTGACTCTAAAGAAAAAATGGGAGAATTTGGAGAGGAAGACAATGAACTAAGAAAGGGCTTGAGAAGACAATTAGAGGATTGCCTACATAAGGAGAAAATAAGTTGGAGGCAAAAATCTAGATGTAAATGGTTGCAAGAGAAAGACTCAACAAGAGGAGATAGTTGGGAACCGAGTTAACTCAACAAGAGGAGATAGTTGGGGCATGTGTATAACACTTTAAATCCATTCTAAGAAGGCCTGTAAATGGAAGGGTGTGGGTAGAAGGTTTGGATTGGCCAGATGTAGGGGGGATAATAGGAGGAGTTTGGAAAGGAACTTTGACTTGAAAGATATTAAGGAGGTTGTGTTTTCTATGCACAGAACAAAAGCTTCAGGGCCGGATGGGTCCATAATGGCTTTTTATCAAGATTGTTGGGATATTTTGAAAGATGACCTTCTGATGATTTTTGAGGAATTTCATAGGAGAGGAATTGTTAATCCAGGGGTGAATTCTACTTTTATAGCTTTGATTCCCAAAAAGAAAGAAGTTTTACATCCAAGGGACTTCAGACCAATCAGTCTGGTAAACAGCCTGTACAAGATTATAGTAAAGGTGTTATCTTTGATGCTAAATAAGGTATTGCCAGACATAATTGAACACAATCAAGGTGCCTTTGTAAGTGGAATGTAGATTACAAATCAAATCCTCATTGCTAGTGAGAGTGTGTAGAGTTTTAAGAAGGATAAAAAGGAAGGGAGTGGTTTGTAAACTGGATATGGAGAAGGCTTATGACATGGTGGATTGGGAATTCTTAAGGAAAGTTGTGTCCAAAATGGGGTTCGGGGCTAAATGGTGCAAATGGATCATGGGTTGTGTTCGAAATTGTCATTATTCAGTGCTAGTGAATGGGACAGTGGCAGATTTCTTCCCAGCCACTAGGGGTATAAGACAGGGAGACCCCTTATCTCCTTTTTTGTTTTTACTGGTTGCTGATGTTTTGGGGAAATTGATCCACAGAGCAAAATCTAGGAGTCTCATTAGAGGCTGGAGGGTTGGAAGGGAAGACATCCCACTCACTCACTTACAGTTTGTTGATGATACGATCATGTTTTGTAAATGAGGTAACGTGAGCTTCATCAGTAATCTGAAACTTGTGATCCATCTTTTTGAGCAAATGTCAAATTTGAAGGTGAACCTTGGAAAGAGTTTGTGTAGTGGGTGTGAATCTAGAGGAGAGAGAGATTAAGGAGAGTGTAGAAGTACTTGGGTGTGAAGTCACAGGGTGGCCGTTGAGTTATCTAGGGTTGCCCCTAGGTGATAATCCTAAGAGAGAGCTTTTGGAATCCGGTGGTGAAAAGATTTGAAAAAAGACTTGTCTCTTGGAAAAATAATTACCTCTCTGGGTGATAGGATTACACTAATCAATGTCACGTTAGCAAACATACCCATTTACTTCCTTTCAGTGTTTAAGATTCCAGGGAAGGTTTGTAGTAGGCTGGAGAGGTTGATGAGAGATTTCCTTTGGGAGTTGGGAGAGGAGAAGAGGGACCATAAAGTTGGTTGGAGGTGGTGACTAGGAGTAAAAATTTTGGGGGTTTGGGGCTTGGGAACATTGGGAAAAGGAATTCAGCCCTTTTGGGGAATTGGTTGTAGAGGTTTCCTTTGGAGCGAGAGAAGCTATGGGTTAGAATAGTGGCAAGCATACGTGGGTTGGAGCAAAATGGATGGGATGCTAGAATCAAAGCAAGGACCACAAGCACTTCACCTTAAAAAGTCATTCATGATATGCTTCCAATTTTCTCCCCTCTTGTCAAGTATGATTTGAATTCAGGTAATTCCATAAAATTTTAGGAACAAATTTGGGCGGGGGATGCTCCTCTTAAGGACCGGTTTCCTTCTTTGTATGCTCTTTATGATCTTAAACATGAGCCAATTTCTTCTTTCATCACCCATTCCTCTTCTAGTTCAGGGTTTGGGTGGAACATGGGTCTAAGGAGGGCTGTGAGGGATTCAGACCTTGATAGTATTTCGAGCCTCCTTGAACTTATTGATAATGTGTTCTTAGACCCTTCTAAGGTGGCCTCTAGAATTTGGACCCCTACCCTCACGGGATCTTTTTCCTATGCTTCCTTCTTCAAAGTCCTTTGCCAGTCCACCAGTCCTACAACCTCCCCTTTCCCGGTTAATGAGGTTTGGTACAGACCAATTCCTCCTAGGGTTGGTGGTTTTTGTTAGGAAATCTATTTGGAAAGATTCAACACTGGGGATTTGCTCCAAAAGAAGAGACCCAATACTTGTTTGTCACCTCACTAGTGTGTTCTTTGCAAAGTGGATGGGGAGACTGGTTTTCACTTACTGGTATCTTGCCAATTTGCGAAGTCAATTTGGGAGTGGGCTTTTTCTCTTTTTGGGTGCAGGCGGAACCCTCCATCAAACTCGCAGAGCCTTTTTTCCCCTTCTTTTTTCAGGTGGCACATGAAAAGGGGAATGGCTATGTAGAGAGGGTTGAGGGCTACAATATGCTGGTCATTATGGGAAGAAAGAAATTCTAGAATCTTCTTAGAAAAGGAGAAAGAGGCTGAAGAATTGATGGTCGTGATCCATATAAGGGCTGTGTAGTGGCTAAAAGCCTGAAATCACTAGAGCTATTTACAGACTACATAGTGGAAGACATGTTGAGAAAGTGGGGTGAGATTGCAAATTGTACACGGATCAAACCAATAATAAGGGTGTCTTGGACTCCCCCACCTGCTGGCTTCTTAAAATTAAATTTTGATGGGAATTGTAGGAGGAATCCTGGACAATCAGGGATTGGAGGTGTTTTTAGGGAAGAGAACGGGATCATCTCTGCCCTGTTCTCAAGCCCAATTGGTGTGGGGGATTCCCTTAGAGCTGAGATCTTGGTAATTATAGAATGAGTTCAGAAAGCCAAGGAGATAAATATTAAAAGACTCTTAATTGAAGGAGACTCGGAGGTGGTGATAGGGTGGCTGATTAAAGACAATTGCGGCTTATAAAACTACAAAAATGAGAAGAGGAAATTCAGGTGGCTGGTGTGGGGGATGGAAATCAGGATGGGCTGGGTTAAGAGATCAACTAATTCTTTAGTTGATGGGTTAGCTAAACAAAGGATAGAAAGGGAAGCAATGATTTGGGCTATGTTGTAACTTAACTGTTTCTTTTTTCCTTTTCCCTCTTTGGAGGGTTTAAGCTGTATTCCGAAGATAAAGAGTGTTTGTCTTCCGTGCTGTAATTAGTTTGATGTTTGTACATAAAAACGACTAATATGGTCTCCTGGATATTCAGAAGAATGGGTTGATGCATAAACAGTTCAGAATTGTAAATTTCATATTAAATACAGCGTGATAGGCAGAGCCTTAGAACTTACAAAATTTCCCTTCCCGGCCTTTGAAAAAATCAAGTAGAAGAAAGTTATTATTATCTTCGAGCTTCCCCTCCCTACCCAGAAAGGAAAAGGAAATTGAGTCTTAACACGAACCTTGGGAAGACGCCCTACATTGACAAAGCATGCTCCGTCAACTAATTCCAATAAATGATTCTTAATTCTCACAAAAATGGACAGATAAAAACATTCTTGGGTGGCCAACTGGCCATTACACCCTTACAAACCACTGTAACACAAAAACAGACGAGAAGGTATGAGACTAAGTATAGATAAACTTTTGCTAAACCCACCACGGGCTTTAGAAAGAACAATAACTTCGCACTAAGCTCCTCGAAATCGCCGGCTGCAGTTTTTCCACTAGATATATTACATGGTTGGCAGCAGTAGCAGTTGAAGCGGGATTTTAGACAAGTCTCAACTCATACTCGCCAGCCATTGTTATGTATCTCACCCATGGAAGAGCCTGGTATCCACTTTTCTCAATGATCTTCAGATAACGAACCTACAAATCCCAATTTTTTCATGTGCAAATTAGCAAAAGGTCATTATGATTATCACGATGGGATGGGGGGAAGCCATATTTAGAATTAGGGAGAGGAATAAATAAATGAACTTTGTACTGAAATTATAAGCAACAAGAATAAACAAGCACATTCACCTTTGGCTTTGAGAACATTGCATCTCAAAGTTAAGATAGTTTAATATTAACAGTTTCATCATGGAATGGAATGGAATGAGACTAGGGGGGCAACATTGCTCTGATAAGCTTGGATCATCAAGAAGAAGCTACTGAATCAGGGGAAAGCTTAAGGGATTTTGTGTACCAACAAACACAAAACTTAATTTTCAGCATTATCAAAAGAGACCCATGCACAGATCATCAAAAAGATTCACCACATGGTGTGGATACTTGAGCCAGAAGCAATAAAAACATGCATTATTATGGGAGCCATTGCTTTTGTCCAATGGTAAAATATTAGGCAGACAAGCATGAGAATTTGGATTTAAATTTAAGCAGCTATTTTGGGCAAGAAAATGCCAAAGGTTAGGTCCATATCCAGTCCACCTCTCCCAAGACCCCACATAGCTAGGGCCAACATTGGTTACGCCCCCTAGGCGTTCTCATTCTTTTGGTGTAAAAGTCATCAGTCGGGTGGACTGAAAGTTCAAGGCCTCAGTTAGGGTAATAATGCAGCCAGAGACAACAGGCAAACCCAATAACTGGAATGGTCATTCTTCACCCCTGTTAAGAGGCATGTGAACTGGAGTGTTTGTCTTTTCTCTTTACATAGGTTATAAAGGGTAAATCCATTCTATCAATCTATGTATATATTGTAATCAGCAACGAACAAGATTGATCAAGTTGCATAAATCAGCTTGTCCATGCAAAAATAGAATTAAACAGAGTTATATCCTATTTGACTGTTAAAGATAAGGGGGGGGGGAACTTCTGTAAAAACAATATGCAAATGAAAACTAGTTGAATGATATGCTAGCCAAATAACCTTTTCTTAGCAAACAAATTTCCTATACAACCAATCCACTGAAGGAGTTTTCACCAGCCAGCAATCATACATGTGGCAACTTACAAGGCACCAGCCTAAAGTTGTCCAATTTTCAGCACCTTACCCTCCAACTATGAGGAACTTTTCATCCCAAAGCCCCCTGCCACATGGCAACAATATAGATTTTCCACCCTATGTAATACAAAAAAGTTGAAGTAACAAAACACATCAAAAAGGGTAGAGTGCAGGGCTGGCATGACTTATAGCAACCATATATACATATAACATTTCTCTATATTTGTTTATCACAATACAGAAAACAAAATACTTCTAACTGAAATGTGAAGCATTGTATATCAATCAAAAGAAAACAATTATGAAACAGCCCACTAAAGAAAGCAAAATTTCCAGTTTGGAATAGAACCTGTATTCCTGAAACGGTAAAATATGGTATCTCAAACTTCACACGGATAGGAGCTTTTCTCTCTGGAGCTGCTTCTTCAGCAGTTATACTGGGAAGACTAAATTCGGCTCTTAACATGTACTCCTGGACAGTTTATTTTCAGAAATAAAGAGAAAATGATATGTATATTTAATAGATTACAAAACCCATTCACAATCTATGGCCATTGATAATGAAATAGGAAATAGGAAAGAAATCTCTGGCCTTCTTGCTGAATGGAAATAGAAAAGGGAAAATAGTTAAAATCTAACTCTTTACCTTGCCACCAGGAAAGGATTTTATTTTCCATATCAATGCATCATTTTCAGGTGCATACGAAGCAGATCCCATGGAAGTTCGTATATTAGGATTGGTAGCATCTGATGGCACAGGTAACTCAATTTCAACATTTGTTGCAGTGCTGCACAAGCAACTTTCCATTAAAGACTACTGAATAATTGAAACAAAGGGAACCTATTATTAAAGAAAAGCACATATGGAAATAAATTAGCTCCCAGGTCCCCCGAGTTAACTCTTAGTAGCAATAGACTCGTGGATAAAAACTATTGAACAATTGAAACAAGGTGGTATAAACATGCCTACGCTCCTTGAACTGGCTCCGTGCTTTTACCATGAATTCAATACGGCTTCTTGAATGCCTCTCTACTTGAGCTTCCACCCAGATCAGAGGCTTTACCTGAAAGTATATGGAAATAAGTCTCGTATATGACCCAGAGAGAGAGAGAGAGTATGATGGTAAACATATTAAACCAAAAACGGAACATAAAGCATGAAAATAAACCTGAGTATTGAGTCTATATGTCATCAGATCAAAAGATCCATCAGGGGGTATGAAAGATATTGTCCTGTCATTTTCAAATCGGGCCAAACGCACACACCTGCACCAAAAGAGTTATTAGAACAAAAAGTGGTGGAAAGATTGTCACCATCTGAAGTTGGACTTTAGTAAAAATTGCATAATTTCTTATGAAACAATGCAGAATACAACTGCTAAAGAATTTGGCCACATACTGGTGAAATTTGATATCATCCAGATCAATTGCTTTCCCCTTTGTTGTTCTGCCTTGAGCTTCCAGTAGCACTCTGTCATTTAGGCCAAGCTTACATTCAGGCATTCCACTGCAAACAGATCAAGCATGATTAGTTTCTTGCTTTCCAGCTAAACTCATTTCCAACAACTTCCGCCAGTCAGATAGGAGCACCAGGATCCTTGGGGTACCTAAATGGATGAATATACACTCAGGAAAGAAACTAATAGAAGGGGGGAAAAAAAGAAAATAATCCTTATTTTCCAGAAAACCTATTAGGTCTCACTCTCCTCCTTACTATTATGAAGTTTGGACAGCTTCCCATTTTAATGATAACCAATAGTGTGTTTACCATCCATTACAGCAAAAGATTGATAAGCATTGATGTTAATAATCCATAATGGCCAACGAATGGTAACATGAAATTCCATGTCCCACTCATATAGAAACAAATAGCAGCCCTTGAATCAATCCCTATCGACTATCAATCCACATAATGATGTTATGTTGCACCTGTTATTTGTTTTGCACTTTTTCCATGCAAAAGAAATAAGTGAAATTCACTCTCCAACAACAACTTTTCAGTGTATTACCCCAATAACATTTTCAAACCTTCCCCAGATTATCAGAGTGCTTTTATTTGTTTATTGATTTTGATCACTAATTAATTAAATTATTGTTAAAGAAAAAAAGTTATATGTTACTTCTTAATTATTAACAGATGCTTTATTGATTAGAAATAAAGAATGAATCAAGGCCATTGCCCAATGGCCAGAAACAAGGAAAGTTTGGTATTTCTTATTAAATATGGTGGGATATTGCTGTGTGTTTCCTGAACACATTGAAGACTTCCTTTGGCAATGGCAGGGAAAAGGCCTTGGAAAGAGAAGAAAAGTTCTGGCTCACTGTGGTACGAGCAGTGTTTTGGGGGGTGTGGGAGGAGAGAAATAACCGAATATTCAACAACAAGGCTAGAGCTATGGGCGAGCTGATATCCCACATACTTCACTTGTGCAACTCATGGGTGCTGAATTCAGAAGAATTAGAGGTATTTCACTAAATGATCTCCAGAGAAACCACTGTGGAGATTATTTTTTCTTATCCTTCCTCTCTAAAAGCAATCAGAAACCTTCACTCAAGTTTGGTAGAGGTAACCCTGAACTTTGATGGAAGTGCCCTTGGGAATCCAGGTCTAGCAGGAATCGATGGTGTATTTAAAGGAAGGGATGAAAATCTTCTGTGGGCTTATAGTGGCCCAATAGGGATTGCTGATTCTACAAAGGCTGAAGTTTTAGCAATGCTAACTGGACTTCGGATTGCAAGAGATCTTGGATTGTCTTCCCTAATCATTAAAGGGGACTCGAGTAACCCCATCAAATGGCTTGGGGAGAAGAATGGAGGACCATGGAGGCTGGCTCATTATTTGGACGAGGCTCGAGATATCCTGGAATCTTTGAATGCATTCCTGCTCTGGATTCCCAGAGAGTTAAGTTCTGTAGCAGACAGCTTGGCTAAAGCAGGAACTCATAGGGATATTTTATATAGCGAGAGAGTTATACCTTTGTAATCTGTTTGTGTGTCTTTTTAGTGCCTCCTTTGTACATTCTCTCATGTGCATTTCCCTTTTAATGAAATCTGTCATCTTTTAGCTCAAAAAAAAAAAAGTTGTTCCTAGCTATCTAGGGCCTTAGGAGTATGGTCCTAACCTTTTTTTTGGCACAAAGTTACCACCCTCAAACTCGAACCTGCATTCTTATGCTTACCAGCCTGATATTTTACATTACACCAAGTAATGGCCCCTAGAATAAAGAAGGAATAGTATGTAGGATGATGTCATGCATCCCCCAGCTTACATTGACTGTCACCACCTATCCTATGATCCCTTTTTTTTATCAATAACTATTCTATGATCCCTTTTTTTAATCAATAACTATCCTATGATCCCTTTTTTTATCAATAACTATCCTATGATCCCTTTATATTATACAATTTGTGTTACATTACTTGTTCCCACCTGCCCCCCGAATAAGTGTTCTCTATTGACCCCCTTGTTTTGTCATTACACTGGCCAACTCATTGGTTGATTTGTTATACAGTTAGAGCTGATAACAATTTCCCTTTTCATTGCACTTATCTCTCTCATGGTATTTTTGGTACTGCCATGGAACCAGACCATCATTTCTAAACCAGCTTGCCACCACTTTGGAGTCTTCTTCCACTACCAAGTTTCTATAGTTGAACTGTTGAAGTTATATGTTATTCATCAGTCGATAAAATATTATAGTAAAAAACAACTGATGTTGACAGTTAAAACTTTATTCATATGGCAAGCTGTAAGCCTAATAACCTAACAGAGATTATTGTATAAGGTAAATCATAAATGGTAGGTTACAAAGAAAAAGTTAGTAGAGTCATTTCTTTATTAGCTACTTTTTGGTACCATCCTATTAGATTATTATAACTATTATCCCCATTATGTCTAAATTATTAGTATGATACACTCAACTATATGCTTAATTGCCTTGTCCTGGACACCCGGGTGCCTAAGCATTCATTTGACAAAACAGACTGAGATACTGAATTCAATATGCAGTTACTTCTGAGTTCTTACTATAAATTGTGAGTGGTAGGTAAGTGATAGGCTTTCAACAAATCTTCCCAATGATTAAGGTTTGCTGAACCCTGAATAACTCTACATGAAAGACTGCACAAGAACTACGCACCTCAAATATGTTCTCATCTTCAATGCCCCAACAACATCTGAACGAATTATTTGCCCATTGCTGTTGACAAGTATATTAACACTTTCCACAACATCCAGGAACACCTGAACAAACATTAAAGAAATTTTTCTAAATTATATTTAAGTGCCTAAGAGCACCATTGTTACTGCATGTAAATCGACCTACTTCATTCTTCTTGTATCGTATCCCTTCACTGCGCCAAGACACTGCATTTGTTACAGCCATAGGAGGTCGTTGAGTAACCTCCATCCTGTATGCATCCGTCTTGATAAACTCACTAAGAATCTTTGCTTCCGTATATTGAGGGTAACCAAAATCCATCATTTCATCAAGTAACTCATACTGCCAAAACAGCAATTGCTTCAGAATGACCCCATCTGAGTATTATATAATATGTTCATCCACCAAAGTTCTTAATTTTAGTTTTCTCCAACAGAATAGGTTGCCAAGCAAAAAGGGGGAAAAAAAAAAAGTAGAAGAAAGAGACCCTCTTACCACAACCACAAAGTTATCTCTCAGTGATTCCTCTTCTAACTCCTCAAAATAATGCTTAAAAACCTGTCTTTGTTAATCAGGATACCAATAATGTAAAACCAATTGAAGCAAAAGTTTTTTTTCATAATTTTACTAGAATTACAAAGATCGTACGTCAACTACACGGTGTAGAAAAAGAAGAAGACTGGCAGCATTGCTATTCTGCCTTGACGCAGTCATCAAGTAAACATTGTTGTGCTGTATGAACATATAGGTGACGCCATTGTCATACACTACTGGATCTTGGGACTCCGGATCACCCTGAGGAAGATCAAAGAGAATAGGGAAAGAAATAGCTATTATTCAGATAAGAACTACAGGTGCAGAAATTGTGTTCTTAAATTGCATACGTTGGCCAGAATGAGTAAACATATGGCATCGAAATTGTAAAGTTAAATTCATTGACAGAGAGAGACTTGGAAGGAAAACTTATGGCAATCCTGAAGTAATGTTTAATAGATGCGCTTAACCGTTTTTAAAACAAAGCTTGTAGAGGATGAATCAAATTTTCCAATTACAAAATGAATACCAATTTCTATCCAGGAACAAAAAAATAAAAAAGCAAAAGTTCCAGAAACTGCCTTCAAAAGGAGCAGAACTCAGATGAACTTAGCTACAACCACCCTAATCAACCCACACAATCATTTAACAAGCTAAATACATATAAAATCTGTGCCAAACTCTCGTCCAAATCAAGAAAATTCGAGACCCGAGTCATCCAAAGAAAAACAATGAGTCGGCTCACCTCTTTCTCAATAAGCTTCGTGAAGAAACGCTCTGCTTGTATTGCTGAGACGTCACCTCTGTAGTCGCGCCACACCAAAACACGGCCTTTGATGTCCAGAAAGAAAAGCGCCGAGACGGCGCCTGCCATTTCTAAGGTTCAAGGAGATCGGAGATCAGATCGGGGACGCAGAGACGGATCTGGTTTTCAATGTGTTCAATAGGACGGAATATTTGTGAAACGGGAATTCTAGGGTTTCCTGCAGCATTCTAATGCCTGTTCCCAGTTTTGGTTACCTGTGATTTTTCGAGGAAGTTAAGCTCGGGAAGTGTTCGTAAACAAAATAGAAAGGTAGGAAACGATAAAAATTGGAGGACCTCCTCCGATTTCTGTCTGAAAGCCAAGAGGATTTTTCCAGTACTATAACCCGCTTAACGTTGATATACGTAGATGGCGTAATACGCATCCTTTGCTACTTCGATGGTCGACATGCGGTGAGTCCGGTGACGAGCTACACGCCTACACAAATAGGCCTGGCCTTACTAAAACCCAATCCGTAATAAGCATCCTTTGCAAAAAGAGTACAAAATATAAATACTAAGGTGTGACCTTATATTTTGTATATTTGTATTTATACTCTTTTCAATCTGAACCTAAAAAAAAAAGTAATTGGATATGGGAATTCTCTCAATGGAATCTCTTTTATTCATTTTTCTCAACTTATTTCTAGCCTCATGAAGTTGCTCGCATAAGATTTGCTTTGGTGAAAAGTTCATCATAAAAAACTCAATCGATGTGCTTAAAATTTATGTGGATTGTTTGTGCTTTTTTATGTGATAATCGATGTAACTAATACATCAATTATCGATAAAAAAGGTCAACGGATCGAAAGATTTATATCGATTTTCAATATAAACCTTACATTAAAAAAATAAATGCGTGAAAATACGGATTGGGATATAGAATTTTGCACCAGTCCATATTTATATTGAAAACAAACACGAGCAAATGTGAATTAATAATGAAATTTTATGTCGATTCACATTTATACCGAAACAAATGCACCTAGACAATAGAGAATGATTTTTGTATCTTGGGTTTGGGGGCAATGTGGGCTATATCATCCCTTGTAATCTTATTTTTATATCTTCTTTTTATAATAGTTAAGGGAGGGAATTGTTGGACAAAAAGGCTTTGGCCAATAAAACCTCCTTGAATTTTGATTAAAACCCAATTAATTGATTGTCACTTTTATGATAGTGATCGATTGGTTATAAGTATTTTTTGCATCATAGTCGAACCCTAATAAAATTTTAAGGTGACTTCCTTCCGTTTAGAGTAAATTTTCTCAAAGTTTTTAAAATTAGATCGGATAGAGAATCGTTCTGGGGACTAATTCCTGGATAGAGTGGTCAAATCAGCTGGTTCGAACGTATGGCTTGTGCTGACAACAAACTAATAAAAAAATTGTCAAAATTTATTGTTTGGGACAACGGTTCAACCACCAGAGTCGGCGGTTTACTGACCAAATCAACAATTTTTGGCCAAAAAGCAATTATGGGGTAAAATAGAACCGATCAGGTGACCGGTTCCTGGTTTTCCCAAACCGGTAGCCAGGTCTGATCTGTTTTTGAAACACTAAATTTTCTGGTTACTCATTTTAATTAAACTTGGATCATACTGTATTGCTTCTAAACGTTAATTCAACCTGAAATTAAATAGTGTTCATGTTTTTCAACCTAATTATAACCTAACAAACATAAACTTTTGGATTTGGTACAGTAAGTTGCACCTCTGATTAAATGTATTTCTTTGTTAAAGATGTTGATATGTGACATAAGAAAGTATATATGGATTATATAAAGTAAGCATTGGTTACATATGATATTTATATATGTAAACATGACAAGTCTGGGTCAAGTTGTTCAATGACTCCATTTGATCCAGTGGCTAGTTGGTGAGGTTTTCAACTGGTTGTAAGAGAGACTTGGGATTGAATCTCACCTGCATCAAGCAAAAATTAATAATAAATAGTTCAACTTTTGGGTTAAAATGTGTTAACTTTTAATGTCATGAATAAATAATAAAAATTAGTAAAATATAAAAATACATAAATTAAAAAAAAGCATTCAAGCACATGTATACTATCATATATTTATCATATTAAATAAAAGGTAAGTGTGATATATTATAACTATTTTTACACATAAAAATACAAAAAAAAATGTATAAAATTTGAATGCATCAATAATTTTATATTTACACTACTATTAAAAATATGAATAAGATTGTAGAACTTTCTTTTGATTAAAATACTCAATTTTGAATTTAGTCATTATTTAATTATAATGTTTAAATTGTAAATTGAACTATTACTTTTCACTTCATTCAATTCCCTCTATTTAAATCTTACATTTTTGATAAATGAACAAAAGATAAAATATATACAAAACACTACAAAAAGAGGAGTCTAGCCAAACAGGTATGCCTCTCAATGATATTTGAAACTTCATAACTTTTTATGATTATTACATATTTAGGTGAGGTGTTTGTGTAATCAGATTTGGATTTTGCATTTTGCATCCGATTAATAATAAAAATAAAAAGATACATAAAATTTATAAAAAACTTTATAATATTATTACTATCATTATCATCATTTATAATTGCCATATGCAAAGCACGTGTGCACGCTTACTAGAATGCCTGTATTTGTGTATTTAATCAATCTCTAATTGTAAGGGTTGAAAATGCAACTTCAGTTATTACTTATCACCTCATTTAGTCTCATCTCATTAAGTCTTATACTTAAGGTATTAAATCATATTTTCTGATCATATGTTTTTTAATTATTTTCACTAATAAATGCTACTAATTAGTTCTATGTCAATATTTTTAACAATATAAACCCATATATTTTAAAACTAACTCAAAAATAAAAATAATTTTTTTATCGAAGTGGTGGCTAAGCAATTCAACCATTCGAATCAAATTGATCAACCTATAAGTTATCATTATGTAATAAAAATTTTAAAATAGACATAATTTTTTTTAATATTGTATCTATGTCAATATTTTGGGTTAAATGTGTTAACCTTTAATGTCATGAATAAATAATAATAATTAATAAATTATAAAAATACATAAATTGTTTAAAAAGCATTCAAGCACATGTATAATATCATATATTTATCATGTTAAATAAAAGGTAAGTGTGATATATTAGAACTATTTTCACACATAAAAATACAAAAAAAATGTAGAGAAATTGAATGCATCAATAATTTTGCATTTACACTACTATTAAAAATATGAATAAGAGTGTGGAACTTTCTTTTGATTAAAATACTCAATTTTGAATTTAGTCATTATTTAATTATAAGGTTTAAATTGTAAATTGAACTACTACTTTTCATATCATTCAATTCCCTCTATTTAAATCTTACATTTTTTTAATCAATGAACAAAAGAAAAAGCATACAAAAAAAAAAAACAAAACACTACAAAAAGATAAGTCTAGCCAAGCAAGTAGGTCTCTCAATGATACTTGAAACTTCATAACTCGATCTGATTATCATATATTTGGATGAGGTGTTTGTGTAATCATATTTGAATTTTGCAATTTGCATGTAACTAATAATATAAAACAAAAATAAAAAAATATAAAAATTATAGAAACTTTGATATATTATTGCTATCATTATCGTCATCTAGAATTTCCATGTGCAAAGCATGTGCACACTTACTAGTATATATAGAAAGAGGAAAGAGGGGAAGTGCGGGTCTTTTCACCATAGAGATCATACATACCTCCTCATTCTCTCATTTTCTCACACAAGTGTATTTATTTTTAAATTGAATCATTAAAAACCTTGTGGGTCTTTATTGTTTCTCACAAAATACATATTTACTCTATAATACTCCCATTCTTAAATCTCTTTATAACCTTACTAATCGATGTTTGTAACATCTCCAATCCCCATTAAATCCTTATTTTCCTCTTAAATATTTCTTAATCCCTTTTGGCTCTTTTTAATAAAGTAGGGTGTTAGCTTGGACCCTATTTAATGTAAGAAAACCCAAATTTGCCCACTAGTACACGGGGTGAATCAATTTAAACAAATCACTACTCCTTTCCTTGGGTTATTATGGTTTTCCCTATGTTTTTATTAATTTAATTTAATATAGATTTGTTTCATGGATTGTTCTGGTTCAATAATAAAAAGTAGTAAGAAATAATTTAATATAGCTTGGACCCTATGTTTTCATCAGTTTAACTTTTAAATTATTATTTTCTTATTTGGTTATTAATCTCATGCTTAGCACATTTTTTGTTTTATATGGCTATAGAATGGGAGGTACCCCATTGCCCCAACCCATATTTTCTACAACTAGCTAGACAATGTATCAACTATCAGTTGGTTTTTACGTTTATCATAAAGGAAAGCTTGTAGCTCAGTAACTAAAAAAGAAAAATATGTATTTTTTATACTAATCTACATCAAAGTCAATGTTTTAAAAACCGACCAAAAAAATGGAAACCGCTTTGGCAACTGGTTTTCCGGGTAAGTGGTGCAACCGTTCGGGTCAAATGGTTTAAACACTTTAACAAGTGATATGCTATCCTACCCATTGGAATGGAATCTTGTGGTAAGATGCATATAAATATCATGAGAAGATGGTTTGAGAATGAGAGTGAGATTTAAGAAACTGTTGGCCAATATAATTTAGAGGAAAAAGAAGATTGAGTGAGAAGAAGAAGAATAAGGAGGTCACTTGTAGTAGCAACGACAACGGGAGCGGCGAACTATAGTAGCAACGATGGCGATGAAAGTAGATATGGGATTTCTCTCATATCTCTAACATACACACACTATCTCTCTTGCAAATATTTTGTCTAGATTGCTCTCCCATATCTCTAAACATGATGTCTCTTAGATCTCTTTGACACATATCTCTCCAATGATCTCTTTATCTATTAGATATCAGATATGAGAAATTTGAAGTTATGAACTTTTTCTTTTTCATTATTGTTTTGTCATAAGTAATAAATTGTGAACCATTGTCCGAATGGTTCAGTAGTCAAACCATATGGGTCAATGGTTTTTAGTCAGGGACCGGGTTTGGGGTAAAACCATGGTTTTCAAAATTGGATGGGATCGGACCATCAGATCAGAAAAATTAGGGACCGGTCAGGTGATCGGTTTTGTTTTTCCCCAAAATCGTTTTTTTTTTTCAAAAACCATTTATTTTGGTCAGCAAACCGCTGACCTAGGCAGTTAACCGTTCGAACGATTTTGACCATTTTCTTTTTTATTTTTTGCCAGAATGGGCCGACCATTCGGTTCGAACGACCGAGGAACCGGACCCCTGACCGGTTCGTTATTCGGGTCGATTTAAAAAACAGTGGGTAAAACGGAACGGTCACCTGGACGGTTTTCGGTTCGAATGGCCCGACCGTCCGGGTCAACGTTGGTTCGAAAAATAGAGGCAGCCTGCACCACGAAAGAAAATCGTGTCGCAGGCTGCCCATTCTCATTTTCTTCGACTTCGACACACTCAGACACCCTCTCTCTCTCTCTCTCTCTCTCTCTCTCTCGCTATTCGCAGTGGTCTCTCGCCATCAAAAACATCGGTTCTCTCTAAGGCTTCCGCCGATAATTTTTTCTACCTGTGATATCTGATCTACGTAAGTCTCTCTCTGCTGCGTTTGTCAGCTTCACCATGGCCTATTTACTATAATGTGCTTTGGGTTAGCTTTTCTCGTCTATGAACTCTCACAGTCTCACAACACACTCTCCATTGTCAAACAATTACATGCCCTCACCATCAAGTATCACCTATCTTTCGATCCTTTCTACGCTACCAAAATCATTCGTTTATATGCACTTAATAATGACCTTCATTCTGCCCGCATTGTATTTGATAGAATTCCCTGCAGAAGCGTTTACCTTTGGAATTCCATCATCAGAGCTTACGCTAGGGCTCATCAATTTAACCATGCCTTATGTTTATTTAGTCAGATGCTAAGAACAGAAATTGAACCTGATAACTTCACTTTTGCTTCTGTTATACGTGCCTGCTCGGACTATCTGGACGAAGTGGATCTGAGAGTTGTTCATGGACGAGTGATTATAGCCGGCTTGGGGTCAGATTCGATTTCTAGTAGTGCACTTGTGAGAGCTTATTCAAGAGTACGCTTTGTTGATGAAGCTCGTAGAGTGTTCAATGGGATGCCCAAACCAGATTTGGTTATGTGGAATTCAATGGTTTCAGGTTATGGGTCTTCTGGATGCTGGGACAAGGGCCTGGAATTGTTTAGAAGAATGCAGAAAATGGGGGAAAGGCCAGATGGGTATACTATGGTTGGATTACTCTCGGGTTTATGGGAACCCAGCTTACTTCAAGTTGGAAAGGGGATTCATGGTCTTTGTTTGAAAAATGGATTTGAGTCGTACGCACATGTGGGAAGTGCACTTGTGACTATGTACTCAAGGTGTGGTTGCTTGAGTTCTGCTTATGGAGCTTTTAATAGTCAATCTCTGCCTGATTTGGTTCAATGGTCTGCTCTGATAACTGGACTCATTCAATCTGGAGCTTGTGAAGAAGCCCTGTTATTGTTCAGGGAAATGAACCTCAAGGGTCAAAAAGCAGATGCTATTTCAATTGCCAGCACACTAGCAGCTTGTGCTCGGTTGGCAATGATGGGACCTGGCAGGGAGATCCATTGTTATGTTATACGGCATGGATTTGAGTTAGAAGTCATGGTTTCCTCTGCTCTGGTAGCCATGTATTCAAAGTCTGGTTTTGCTGGATTGGGATTTCGGGTTTTCAAAGCTATGTCTAAAAGAAACACCATTGCCTATAATTCTGTAATTTCTGGTCTTGGTTCAAATGGACTTGCCTCCTTTGCCTTTGATATGTTTAACGAGATGTTGGAAGAGGGATTTCAACCTGATCAATCCACTTTTTCTGCTCTACTTGGTACATGCTGCCATGCTGGGTTTGTTAAAGATGGTTGGGATCTTCTCAGAAGAATGGAAAAAGAATTTAACATTGAACCTAGTACAGAGCATTATGTATACATGGTGAAGCTCCTTGGGATGGCTGGAGAGTTTGAAAAAGCTTATCAGTTAATCCATTCTATTCCAGGATACACAGATTCTGGCGTTTGGGGTGCACTGTTATCTTGCTGTGAGGTTCATGGGAATTCTGAGTTAGGAGAAGTTGTAGCCCATCGGCTTTTTGAGATTGCACCAGACAAAAGTGCTTATAGGGTCATGCTTTCTAACATATATGCCAGTAATGGGAGGTGGAATGATGTGAAGAGTTTGAGAGATGATATGATGGAAGGAGGGCTTCGAAAAATGCCTGGTTTAAGTTGGACATGATTTACATGCAATTCTTGTCTTCTGACAAGACAAACATGATCAAGCTTTCATATCAGCTCCAAAATGAGCATTGAAAAATATAGCAGACTTGAGGAGCTACAAAATAATTTAACTCCTCATATTATTTGTCACCAATAATTTGGATTAGAGTCTTGCTCTTTTTCTGTTGTTGTTTTTCCAGTCTATTATTGTTCTGTGAGGTAGAGAACAAAGGGTGGTAGATAGGTGATAAAATGTTAATTTAATAATAAGTAGATAGTCACCAAATCTTTGTTAGTGCGACACATGGATCCAATCCGGCTCAGAGTAGGAGAGAAAATGGCTAGTCGGGAAACACGGCTCTGTGTTAGGATTGGGCTGGGCCTAGATTTCTATAGAGGGCTTAGTTGACCCTATATCTATAGGATGACCATGTCTGTCATATATACTGAGCTATAGATATCAGGGCCAGGAAAATAGCTACCCATACGGCGAACCATTGTTTAGTTCCAAGTGTTTAACCATATGGCTGATCCAATTTATCTCCTCTTTGTTCTTGAACAGGCTTTCTTGGCCATTGTTTGCTTACTACATGGACATCTAAAACCAACACAGGTCAGGATACAGATATATCCTTTAAATGGGCGCTCATTGTTATTTATAGATACTAGATTGGCAATTGAGTTTAATAACACCAAATGAACATAGTCAGCGAAGGGGCTGTAAGCATGTAATAAGTAAAATTCGAATTATTATGGTGATGTACAGGAGTAGGATATTTTGTAACATAGCATTTATGGAATTGGTAACAGTCAGCATGAAGCTGTTGTATGCCTCCCTTGCTCACTGTGTGGATCCTTTATTCATTCATACAAACCAAACTTCATAGGACAAAAAGTAAATCCTTCATTCATTTAAATGAAAATTTGAGAATGTCTTCAGTGATTAGAGACCTGGAAATGGATATGACTGAAAGAGGTAATGATCCAAAGATTGGAATCAACAAGAAGTAAATATTTGCCAACAGTCATTCTGGATGCTTATGCTTGGAGTTGCAAGCGTAAACGTGCGTGCCATGATTCCTTAGGCAATTAGAGTTGAGATAATGTTGAATCCTTTAAAGGAGTATACTAAGTGGGTTCATTAAGGAAATACAAAATTAGCCATAATAATATCCAGTTCAATGAATCAATGTCTATACATACCAATCACTTGATTGAGATTTGAGAATATGAATCTGTTATATACCAAAAGAATATCATACTTTGTTGTCAACCATCATATATTCTGCTGATCAAAACAATTATTATTATTTTAAAACCAAAGGTCATAAAAGAAATTGATAAAAAGGGTCACAATAGAAAAACTCTCTTTATCCTGAGTGTGGATTAGCTTGTGTTGTTTATAACCATTTCTCTTATTATAACAGTTAAACTTTGCTTAAGATACCATTTAATTTTCAAGTGGGGAAGATCAGTGATGAGGGCGGATTTGGCCCTCCAATGACAATGTGACACCTGGCACCTCGTGACAACTAGGTGCAACCTCATGACAACTAAGTGCTAACTTCCAGGCAGCTCGCCACT